CAACGATTCAAGAAATGCCAGAGAGCTTGGCAAACTCTCGATTTGAGGGCACTCCCGCATATCAATTTTCTCCAAGTTTCTGCAGCACCCGATAGCCTCAGGGAGACATCTCAAACCAACACATTGCGAAATGTCAAGATACTTCAAGTTAACCAGATGACCAATTCCGGGAGGGAGCTTTTTTAGATGCGGGCATGCATAAATCCTTAAAACTTGTAGAGCTTGTAATTCACCTAAATCAGATGGAAGTTCATAAAGACTATCGCAATTAGTGATACCAAGGGTTTTGAGCTTATGCAACTGGCAAATACTCGATGGCAGCTTATTGAAGTTGATGCAATGATCCATTGTGAACTCCAAGAGCTGTGGGAACAAACCAGGGAGGTCTACAAATGATTCATCTAGGCTGTTTTTCATGTCACAAAGTATTAGTGATATTTTTCGCAAGTTATTGAGAGGACTTGTGGAGTCGGACAAGTGAGTGATGGATATCTTCTCAAACCAAAGGCTTCTCAAGTTGGTTAAATTACCGAAGACAGACATGTTATGAAGAACTGCATTGGAGGCACTATAGTTTATGACTATCAATGCCCTTAGCTTAGGCATGTTTTCCAGGAAAGGAGGCAAAAAGTACTCAGATGACGAAAAATTGAGAATCAGTACTTCAGCTTTCGGGCAATCCATTCTGAACCAGTCCATTTCTCTCATTTCATCTGCAGTAAAGAGAAGGAATTAGAGAATTTTGCTGCTACACACAGAGGAGGAGACGGGATTTCACTTTAATGGGTTCTGAATTTCAAAACGACTACTTCACGTGCTAATAACTGGATTCTAAGTTTACAGTTAATGAATTTTTTAAACACAAATACATTATTTAAGCAAAAGCTACTGGGTTCAACTAAACTCATATACGGGCTTCTAGCTCCGCATCTGGATACACAAGGACTAACTGTCATTATTATGCTATCAGTAGCGGCCGAGGTTCAGTAATACCTGTATGCAAAGAGATAACTCGTGCATTGAAAGGTTCATCCATATTTCTTTCCCATTCTTTTGGCAACCTTGTATCTCTTCTCGGCATGACCAATTGCCTTCTCTGATTTACATCCCCACGGTTGCTCACATGAATAGCTAGGTCTCGTAAAACATCATGTTGAGACACCGATATCTCATAGTAACTGGTATACATATCTCCAGCTCTACCACATGAACAACACATTGAAGTCTATCAACATATTGATTTTTCCATAACAAATCACCTTCTAACAAAATTAAATGATTGTTTCATAAGATTTAAGTTTCCTCTTACCGTGCATCTTTCACTAGATTTAGAAGATTTTTGTCTGAAAGTTCAACAAGAATGTGAAAAGCCTCTTCCTCATCAATATCATGAAGCTCCACCCACATGTTAATTAGAACATCAAGAGGAATCCTTTTGTCTTCTGGGAAAGCACCCAAGTCGAGGAAACACTCTCTCACCTTATCAGGCAAACAGTCAATACTCAATTTCATTCGCTCAAGCAACTGCAGTTCATGAGACTCGCAGACAGGTTGGCTCTGTGATAATCTGTTTTTCGCACTTGTCCAGAACATCTCAGGCTTTCCCTTTAATGAAGATCCAATGACCTTAAGCGCCAACGGAAGCCCTTCACATTCCTCCACAACCTAAAAATCCAAAAATTTAGTTTAGTTTGCTCAAGTATAACTTGAAGTTTTCACAAAGAAAGAGGATATGCTGACAAAAACATATTACTAATACCTTTTTGACAAGCGTATAATTGAAACCACGCGGAATGGAATTATGTCCAAAAGCAAAATGGCAAAATAAGGATATAGCTTCATCTTCCCTTAATAGCTCTAAATCATAAACACAGTCAATAACCGATGGAGGGAACTTAATGCGCGACACAACTAGGATCTTGCAGCCGGGAATTTTGAGAATTAGCGGCTCTAGCACAGAGAGGGACCAAACATCATCAAGAATCAAGAGTACAGGGACTGTAGAGTTCGAGTTCCATTGGTACTGTAGGTTCCACTGGGGCAAAATCTCCTCACGTCCATAACCGTGAAGATTGCACCCTGATATCTTTTCCCAAATCGTTTTCCTCAATTGCTCCACATTTGGAGATTGAGAAACAGTGAAAAAGAAAATCTTGTCCTTGAAATAACCTGGAAAAACATGACAAAATTTAGACTATAGTCTAATCAATAACTTCTGTTCTTGGATTGAGTCATGTACATGCAAAATCAAAATGTCTTATTTGTATTAGAATTCAACTGATAAATTAGATTTGATAGCCAATAAAGTTTTCTTCTTTTTTTCCACTCTGTTTAAGCAGCAATACAAAAGACTAAACAAATAGAAATGAATAACTTTTTTTTGGGATTAATTACTTACTTTTAACTTGATCATCTTTACAAATCTCTTTAGCCAAGGTGGTCTTGCCGCTGCCTCCAATTCCACAAATTTCAAACACACCCCTATCTTCTTTACCCATTAACATCTCCTTCACTTTCCTCTTCCCCAACTCAATTCCAGCACCTAAATTTACAAAACTATCCTCAAACCATTTCTCATCTTCTTCCATTCTTTTCACAGCTTTCCCTAAACACCCTCCACCTCCACCACCGTCGTCAACTCCAATCTTTATAGCTTTAAGCCTATGTTCAAGAACATCAAATCTATGTTCCATATTTAACCTAACATGATGAACATCAGCTAGTACATGAGCTTGCATTGTAACTTGCATGAACCTCCCTACTCTTTTCTCCAGCCTCTCCATCTTCCTTGCCAGCTGCAAGTTCCTGTTATTGAGACATAATATAATTAAATAATTAAAAATTCATTATTTTTAACACTTTAAACTTTTAGACTTGACGATCACACAATTCTGCAGGTATTAGTATTTGGCTCATGAGAAAAAAATCAAACACATATTAAGGGACGTGTTGAGTGTAATATAATTAAGTAATTAAAAATGTATTTTTTTTAACAGTTTAAACTTTTAAATAAAATTATCACAAAATGTAAAAGGTATCAGTATTTGGCTCATAAACAAGAATCACATACATATAAGAGGGAAGGTGTTGAGAAATAATAAAATTAAATAGTTAAAAATGTAATCTTTTAACCGCTTAAACTTTTAGACGAGACAATCACACCTGTAGACGTTCCAACGGCCAGAGTTGAGAACTTTTCCGGCGAGTTCATACCCATCTTGGAGAATCTTTGAGAAGTCATCGAGCTGACGCTGACGTGTCTGTGAAAGTTCAACGCCAGTTTGTTTAATTTCTTGGATGATTGGAAGGAGACCGTTAATGTCGACGATGAGCTGCTCGGCGGTTGAACGGCAGAAGGTGGATTTTCGGACTATGGCTATGAGGTGTTTTAGGAGTTCGGTGGCGATTTCGCCGGCGAAAAAGTCCGTTACCGCCATGTTTGGGAACTTTGGGAGCTGGTGGTTATTTTGATCTTTTCACATTTTCTTTTGAAGAGCTTGAAATTTGAGTGATTGTTATAGTAGTAATTAACTATACTACCTCGTGGGGTTTTATTAAATGACAAATTTAACCCTCTCAAACTTTATTTTTAGTTAACTAAAAGTGTAAAATTGTGTTGTGTTGCTTTTTCAAAAAAATTAAAAATCAATATTACTTTGTTAATTTTTGGGAAAAAAGAATAGGTAATATGAGGAATATAGTTAAACAACTTATGAGAAATAAAGATGGGTATACCAAATGGAACTCAAAATTATATTTCTTTCACTTTATTTTTGAAGGTCACGTCTGATTGATTGGAGTTTGAGAAAGAAAAACAAATTTAATACATAACAAAAGTACCTTTAAAACTTGTGATCTTAACTATGTCATGATATTTTAGTTAAAATAACAAGTTTAAAGTTATTAAAGAATGACGTGTCATTTTTTCTTTTAACAAATTAGAAAGTAACTGAGAAATTATATTTTATACTTTATATCTCGATATAAAATGTGTTTGAAAGATATATTAAAATAACTGTTGATTGCTACTTATAAAAATGTGTTAGAACAAAACAATAAGCTCAATTATGATCATATTTGAACTTGAGATATTTAACTGACTTATTGTCACACGATTACCACAACTGCAAGTCTATGGGAAAATAAAATCAAATCCAAGATTAGAGTAAATTGCCATGGTTGAGCTTGAAATTTTTTTAAGTCCACAGTCAAAATGCAAAATTGAAAAGTTAATATCCAATTTTTGTCTCTTCTATAGTTCCATATGCCTATATTTCAACAAAATGGAGTCCACGAGAAGAAAAAAAGACACTATGTTTGTTAAAGAAGATGTTTGTAGATAAAGTTGAAACATTAGAAATAGAAGGCAAGGTTCCTATAGACTTATATTGAGAGATACTAATAACAATTTTCTTGATAAACTTGATAGGTGCCATTTTTATTCGAAAGAACAGTATTGCATTCTCACTGCACGTGAAAAATGTAAAAATAGCACGGGCTAACCAGTTTTCGGACTGATCATTCAAAAATAGTCAGTATTTGTAAAATCATTGAAAAATAGCCACTATTTTGCTGCAACAGAGACCGGTCCAGCATAATATACTGGAGATCGGTGCCCCTGTGTATGACTTGTACTCCAACGCGCGGAAAGTTCCAGCATAATATACTGGAGATTGGAGCACATGTGTATGAATTTCCAGCATATTATATTGGACCGGTATATTATACTGGAACTCCAGTATATTATACTTATGCATGAACTCCATTATGATATGCTGGAACTCCAGTATATTATGCTGGAACTCCAGTATATTATGCTGGAGTATTTTCCGAATTTTGAATAGCATATTCATTCAGATTTATTTTTACATGAAAAGTGGCTAAATTTCGATTACTTTAAAACTGTGACTATTTTTGAATAACCACTTGTAAATCTGGCTATTTTTGAATTTCTCCCATGAAAAACTAAATATATTAAACTATTTTCTCTCTTTTTTCAATATATATATATATACACACACACACACATTTATTTCCCTTTGGAAAAAAAAATTGTATTTTGCTTACATAGTTAAGTGATATGTAAATTTTATTTCCATTGTGAAAAAACTTGCATATACCATGATATTTATTAAAACTTGTGATTGTTGCGCTAAAAAGGCTCGCATATACTCTTAATATGATGTGATATTGCCCAAAAAATGCCTTACACTACTAAGGAATCTCTATAACTTATATGTAGAACTCCTTATCTATTTAGCGATCAATGTGAGACTTTTAAGTTCCACGACAATCTCAGCCCGGTAACATAGTATGATATTGTCGCTTAGGACCAAACCTGTATGATTTTCTCCCAAAAGGCTTCATACCATTAAAAAAATCCTAGACCTTTGCCGTAGAATTCCTATTTTTCAACTAAATATGAGACTTAGTTTACACCCAACATTGACATCACGTTGGAAAGTACTTCTGGTGTAGTAAACAATAATCCTATTATCTTTTCTTAATCAGTCCCAAAAGTGGTGTTCACACCCTTAAATGAAATTCTTTTTGTTCTGTGTGTATACCCCAAAACGTACCATTTTCAATAATTCTAATAACTTTTCTATTACAAAATAAACAAAAATGACTTTGTTACACCATCTTCAGCTAATTTAATAGAAGTGCTTTGTAAGTAGAAGCAACCCGAACAACACGCTGATTTGGTCCCATGTTAGTTGAGGTTAACAACGTCGAATTGTCGATGGCTAAGTAAAGGGCATTTGTCCTGTCCCACATATATGGGACTTTTCCAAGTGATTTAGGACAGCGCTCTTTGTCGTCCTGCGATTAAATTTTCAACCTGACTATAGGATAATTGCTGAGGCCATATATTTTTCAGTAATTTTTTCATCAATAATTCTGCTAATTTTGAATTATTTCGGATGATTCTCCTTTTTAATCTCCAATCCAACACAATAAACTCGATATTGAGGAGATACTTATATCAGACAGTTTTACTAATTTTGAGACGCAAAAAGCGTAATCATATCACCAACTATAAGTCTATCGCTAATTATTACGTCCAACACTGTAAGATATTGGCGTGATTACCCAATCCGCAAAAATTTAAAAACTGAAAATCCATTTTCATAGGTGCGTCCAATTCATTAATGTAAGGTGATTATTATTATTAAAAAAATGAAAACTCCTTCTGTTACTAATTTTTTCTTACATAATATAATTTTTCGCCCGAAAAAAACCGATTCTCTTTCTAGCCCGGCCTCGCATGTACCCATGTTTCAACTAAATGACAGTCCTCGACAAGAAAAACTATGTGTAGAAATGAAGCTGGCTGTAGCTGTACTATACAGTTGAAACGTAGAGTTTATGTGTAAGCAAATATATCGATGAGATTTAATAAACTGTAGATTACCAAAAGAAATTTGTATAACCTTGATGGGTTCTGTTTTTATTTGGAATAGTGGTACTATTTATAGGTCTTATTTATTATTGTTTTTTGTAATTAGAAGGATCGATAAATTATTATTACTTCTAACATTCTTCTACTTTTTTCTATTTTCTTAAACAAAAGCTGTGTTTACATTGTTATTTATTTCTAAGTAAGTCCCTTTCTTGACGGGAAAAAAAAAGTACTCCTACTTAAGTAATCAACTTTGAACTTACGTTGATTATTGTTCATAGGCATAGCGCAAAACAATAATAAAATAACTTCCTTAAGAAAGCTTCTCAGCAAGGACGGCCAGAGGTAAAGCCACTAAAACGACAGCTTTAGGCCACAGAATTTTGGGGGCCCCAATTTTTGTTTCTTAATTTTTATTTGATGTCCCATATTTAATTTAGGGTATTGATTAATTCAAATTCATACCGTGTAAAATCCATTAAGATGGAAACCGTTCCTTATAAGGATTTTGTTTTCATTCCAAATACTGAAATCGAATACTTCTCAATAAAGAAGGAGATATGCTATCCATCCCACCGCAACTCTTCTCGCGAGGCCCCAAATCTTTTAAAGAAAATATTAAGTATTTCAAAGTAGAAAAGTAAAATATTTTATATAAAAAAGGATTACATTAATCATTAGAAAATATGTAATACACTTTTAAACTCTATTTTTTTCCTCAGGTTTTCATCATTGCAATAAGTATATTGAAACATTAACAAATTCTTTTAATACAAAGGTATCAACTTCTTGAATCATGGTGTATTACTTAAGATCATACCGCACATGAGAGATTAAATGAATTATGCGAAATTTTTTAAATAATTTCATTCACAAAAAGTTAGAAAAATCTATTTCAACTAAAAATATATATGATTTTTTAAAAAGGACCTCACATTAAAGTTGGCTTTAGGCGCCCCTGTTTGTAGGTGAATGTAATACAATGAAACTTTTTCTTTTACTCCTGTCAGTGTACTAAAAATAGAACAAAGGAAGCACTGCCGGCTTTTTCGCCACTTGCTTTGGCCCTCCAAATTTGGGGCCCCATTTTTTTTAGCAACTAATCTTAGGGTACGCATTATATTAATGAATACACAAATTTTAAAAATTACATATATGTTATTAGATAATTTGTTTGAATTATAAAATATAATTTAATATTTTTTAAAAATAATAAATATTATTCTCATTTGGTTAGCTTAACAAATGAAGGAATTTTATTTAGATGCCTTATTGTTATTTTGTCCGAACTTATGTTGAAACTTATGAAAATTGTTAATATTTACAATTCTTTAAAGATTTATCAAATAACACAAATTAAAAATTAAATCTCTCTGTCTCTTAAAACTGTGCGAATGAAAAAAGTTGGTATTATACCTTCTAAGAATTTGATAGTGACAATGTAAAGTTTGAAGAATGAGTAATATTGAACTAATATTTTACAAGAAAAAACTTAGTATAAAAATTGTAGCGAGACGTTTTCATTTGTTAGACTAAATGCAAGAAAGAAACAAATGACAACTCATTTATAATCTAGCTACCTTCTACAATTTTACCTTATTGCTTAAAATTTATTTTTTCACCGATTTGAATCTTTATTTTTTTACTATAATTAATTTTGCTATATTTTATGATTTCTTTCACTGTCGATATTCTTCTTACAAAAATAAATTTATGTACTTTAAGTGTTTTGTCAATTTAACAGAAAAAAATTTCTTATATGATAAATTTATAAAATAATTGAGTTGGATTCGTTTACTAATTAGTTAATTCAACGACTTAATTATTTGTTCTCAACGTTAAAATAAATAACTTAATTTTTATTATTTCAAATTTTGAATATTTGCTCATTCTAATTTTTAAATATTTAAGAATAATTATAATTTTTCCAATAAGAATTCGATTTACAAATAGTAAAAAAAACATATGTTTTAAATCTTTATGTTTTCAAAATTCATCGCGTGCTTGACTCCTACAGAATTTTGCTAACTCACGTTTTGCATAATAAAGAATCTTATAGGAATAGTTCAATACAACTCTAATATTAATGGGCTTTAA